ATACTAACACGATCCGTCTTGGGGGTTATGTTTACACAAACTCAAATAGTAAATAAATGTTTTCAATGCGTTTCATTGGATTGAAAAATAAATAACAGCAATTATACAGCTGATCAAAATGTAAACAATTATGTTCTTCATAAGGATAACATGGGAACTTTCAAAGCCACTGGGGCAGAGCCCAAGGGACTTTTTCAAAAATGTAAGGCCAGTTTGCAAATCAACGTGTCACGCTCTTTCCAATGAGACGTCAATGGATAAAATCGGTTAAGAAATGGCGGAGGAGTTCAACCGACAAATTTTCATGTAGCGTATTAATTATATAGATTTAGTTAATAAAATAATAGGTTACCTTCTTAATCAAATTATTATACTTAACGTCAGAAACTACTTGGAATTCACAATCTGAACCAAGCGTTATTAATATAAAACAATTTGTAGGTTGTAACTTTTAATTTACATTAGATTTGCATTGGGCGATCAGCTGATTTTAATAATATTAGTTTTCCTACAGTCACCCGACAAAGTTGGCTTCCTTGTACTGTTTATTGTACAGAAAGCTGCTAATTGGTGCATATTTATACTTTGCCGTACGGTTTATACTTTGCCGTACGGTTTATACTTTGCCGCACATCAGGATTCCAACGAAACAGCACAAAACAGTGTGGTTCTATTATGCACGTAATCCGTGTACGCTTGGAAATAGGTTGGCAACACTTTAAGATAATAATACCATGAGCAGCTGATTGACTATTATAACTACGATTTAACCTGTCATTTCGTGTTTATAGTTTCGGTATTTCTGAACTTTCTGGACTTTTCTTTTCAACGTTTTTAAAACATTCCTACGATCTTAATAAACAAGAAAATACCTTTAAAGCATTCTTTTTAGGCGCGGAAACCACTTCAAATTAAAAAAACATACGGAACTATATTCTCAAATCGCGGAGCACATTTCTTGCCGAGGAAAAATAGCGGAGTGATACGGACCGCGGGTACTACTTTCTCTAGGGCACCATTTGTGTTGCCAGCTGAACCTAAAAGCGTGTTGTATAGTGTTTGAAAGACTAATTATTTATATGCTTTATAGTGACTGTAGGAAAAATATAATGAGTAACACGAGTGAAAAAGGCCTTTGCTGCACTCGAGATCATTCCGCACTCGCCTGCGGCTCGTGCGTAAACATTGCTCTCGTGTGAAGCAAAGTGCCACTTTCACCACTAGTTACACAAATAACTATTGTAGATTAATGTGAAACATGCTCAGATGATATACCCAAAATAGAGAACGTTTTGTTTAATCTATTGGTTTTGCAATAGGTTTTACTTAAAGAACCCATCCAAAGTCAATGATTGTAGTCACATTTAAATCATCTACATTAAAACATGGTATCAAACTTTGACAATTGAATACGAAGATTTCGTTCGGATCGTTATCAATACGATATTCCACCTAATGTTCGTCGACACGCTATATTCCAGTTAATCATTTACGAACCGATATTTTACCGATACTCCATCATATATCGGATTGTTGTAATCGAAACATAGCATCAAACTTTGACAATCGAATACGAAGATTTCGTTCGGATCGTTATCAATACGATATTCGCCCTAATGTTCGTCGACACGCTATTTCCCAGTTAATCATTTACGAACCGATATTTTACCGATGCTCCATCATATATCGGATTGTTGTAATCGGAACATCGCAACAAACTTTGACAATCGAATACGAAGATTTCGTTCGGATCGTTATCAATACGATATTCCCCCTAATTTTCGTCGACACGCTATATTCCAGTTGATCATTTACGGACCGATATTTTACCGATGTCCCGTCATTTATATCGGATTGTTGTAATTGGAACTTCGCATGTGACTAATACATGGTTGTTACGAATCGAAAATCGCCTGCTAAATTGCATTCCCGAATTGGCAGGAAGTTTTCTATGGCTTAATTTAGGCCTAGTGCTCTATAATGGAAAAATATATCAGATTAATTGACCGGGGATAGCAATGATTATTGTGTATTGAATTTCTTTGTTTTGAGAGCTTAGATTTTAACAGGTTTGTTTCAATATTTTATTCATCAAATGTTTGTAAGTTTTATTTATGCTACTATTTACAAGTTTATGCACAAAATTTGTTGATATTAGAGTACACTTTATTTGTTAGCATTCGTTTTATTTGTATAGTCCTTGTTTATTGTTTTGCTGTTTTATATGGATATTTTGAACAGACAATAACATTTTCAGTTTGTATAAAAGTTTTGTATAGATAGCCTAATATAATTTTCGCCGTATATAAAGTGGGTGTAAATATTTTGTTGGCAAATATAGAGAAGTTCTTGAATAAGAATTTTAATCATTCATCTGCATAGAGATATTAGACAATATTTACTGCATTATTTTTAACTCAAAATAAATAATCGTCGGCTAGTACTGAATGCCTTGACTAAGTTATAAATATTGTTGGTACTTATTTAGCTCTTGTATAAGAAATAAGAGCTATAAATATTATTTGTTGTTCTTAGAAATTCTTTAGGCTACTATAAATATTAATTGTTGGCATAGATAGAAATTCTGGACTTAAAATATTGTTGGTTGCCGTAAAAGAATATTTATTTAGGCTGTGCACGTTAATTCACCTGTACATACATTATGGGTTTGGTTCTAAATTAATTGTTGCCGCAATATTATTTTTGTAGAAATAGAAATTCTGGACTATAAAATATTACATGTATGTACCTATACAAGTCCTGGACTACAAAATTTTAACGTTGGTCTTCATATAAATTGTCAGTACATATTATTTTTGTCAAATAAAGGGGTTCTTGAGTAAAAAACGTTTTTTGAGGTTCTATAAAAGACTACAAGCCCTTAGTTAAATACTCATTAAGAACAAAGAGAAAGTATAAATATAGGCTAATTATGTATAGTAAAATATTGTAATTTTTATAGGTACATCGGCATTAAAATTGTATGTTTTAATTGTACATTAAATATTTGTGAAAAAAATTAACAAACATTGGTTATAACCAATGAAAATGTAACCAACTATAAACTGTAAAAGGACAAGACTTAAACAAATAGAATGTTAACCAAAATAACTTGGATCCCCTGAAGAATACCTTAGTTTGAGAGATAATAATAAGGATTTATATGAACCCCTACCAGTATTTAAGCTGTAGGCTACAATTTATTTTTTACTCAAAGGTAAAAACAAATATTCTTGGTTCATAAAAACAATTACGATAGTATGTGTGTGCCTTTAAGTTTTTGTGCTTGAGTGATGTTTTTAGAACAGTGACAAATTTTTAAATCTAGCAACATGTAAGAAGAATTTTGAACAAATTTAAAATCTAATATATAAAATTCTCGTCTTTTTATACTAAAATTGAACGTCACGTAAGGTTTAACACGAACAATTTGACACCCATGAACCATTGCACCTACCCCTTTCTTTTAAATTATGTTTCTTCTTATTTTCACCATGTTTGTATCAAAAGGATTATACACGTATAGTATTGTAAACATGTAAGAAATATATTTTTCAAATCTGTAAATATTGTTGACAAAATGTAAGAGATGACACAACAAATCGACCACCCTTTACCTACATAAGTCTACACCTAAGTTTCAGACTATTTATCTAAGTTTTTTTAACGAATTTCAAAAATGCAATTGAAAATCCAAAATACTCACTTATCTCCTCAGTATGTGTACACACTTCACTTTACGCGCACGCACACACACCCGCACCCGCGCGGTACGTCTACGGCTGGCTGGCCGACCGGCACACGACTGGCAAACGGAACGGCGCCGGTAGACGGCGCGCGCACCCGTCAATAGTCACACACACTAACACACACATACACTCCCTACGGCAATGTTTGTCTCTGTTATTGTTTATGTTCCGCAATGTGTTAGTTCCGCAAACTTTTCGCATAAAGTCCAATAAGAGAGAAAGTAAATAAGGTGTGCGATATTTTAATTTTGTAAGCAGGGTGATATGTGGTTGTGTTTGAGTTATTATGATGAGGATGGTATGCAGGATTTTGTAAAAATACTTTCGTTGAAAAAAAAAATTATAAAGCAATGCAATCATGCATGGTTCTCAGAGTACAGAAAAATCATTGTTCTAAATCAAATGTTCTGAACAATTATTCGTGTTTATTTTTTTACACAGACATGACAAGACCTACACACAATACTAGTATAAATCAAAATTTTAATTTTAGGTTTGATTTTGTATCCACCGAGTTACCTTACACTTTTTTAGCAGTATAACACATTATTACCGAATCTATATTTGTGTATAGATTGTACTCACATGCAAGATCCAAATCCAAAGGCTATAGTTCAAACGTATTCCTTTATAGTTCTGTCACCTATGGTTAAAATGAACACTTAAGTCTGATTACAATTTATATCACATCCTAGGACGCTAGTTTTTAACCTAGAGCTGTTTCCACATTACTTCAGGCTAGTCCTAGAGGTCACGGCATTATCAGGTACAAAATCTATTGGTGATTGGTGGGAATTGAACCCGATACCTCGGCCTCCAAAGTCCTGTGCTCTACCACCAAGCCAGCTCACTCCCACGTCGTTTGTGAAATTACTTAGTTTCAAATAATTAAGATCACACGGAACATTATATTTGTAAACTGCTATTTGAGGTATTAAAACCTGCTAAAGCAAAGCACATTCAGAAAACTTAACCAGAAACATGAAATAAAATAGTTAATTTACACCAACGAACATTTACCAAACATAAAAGAAGCATTGAATGATCCACACTTACGTTCATAAATTTAGAATTGAATATACCAGCAGTATCCAAAGTCAATGTTAATCTTTAATCACCCAATCTAATCTAAAATCGATGCAAAACTAAACATCTCAACTAATAGCATACAGATAAAACATAATCCTAGCAGGATCTACAAAATAAACAAAACAGCTGATTCAATAATTATTTTCTAGTATGTTCATTTAACAATTTTAAAAATAGGTTAATTTTCAGTAAATCGTGTAACTTATGCCATTTTCAACCAGAAACTTTCAAATTATAAACTAGTTATTGAACCCTTAAAATGAAATACGTGTTTTAAATCGAGTTTTTCGAGGACTTGTCGGATTGTAGAGAAAAGTAAATTCGCTGTTGAGGTGATGGATCTTCCGATGTCCCCAGAAAGAAGCAAAGTTTTATCTGGTAAATATATCTTTTTTACAACTTCGTTTATTTAAGGTACTACTTTATGGAATCCTGGTATATTTAACACACCGTAATACACATACCATGTCATATAGGCTAATGATATTTTATAAATAATTAAAATAAAGATTATAACTTTTCGTGGATCGGCCAATGGCACCACGAACGACGGAACCGAGAACCGGGGCAACGATGTCGTGAGTTCGTTCCTAGTGCACTAACAATTGACCAGTCAATTCTTGTATTGTACCATACAGCACATAGTGTACTGTAGCTTGAACTTGAACCCTGTTTTTCTTGATTAATTCGACGCACTGGCCCATTGGATTGGCAAATGCTATGTTAAAATATACCTTTAACCTTAACAAAGGAAGAAATCTAGTTTTTAAGTAATATTAAATATGTATGCCTGAATAATTAATTACCGGTATGGGTCTTTACAAGTAGTAGTTTTTGTATCTACATGTACGAAATGGTATCAAAGTCTATAGGCATTTTAATACATTATTCGTTCGAACAAACTGTTATTCGGGTAAAACGCTACTGTTGTACGGGAATCCATATTGCACCCAGCTATTAAAGGCAACCTACGAACTTGGGTTCAATTAAAAACACTGTACGGCCGTGGCCTTTAATTATAAACCTGTTTCTGTGTGGCCTTAGTAAATTGTTGCCAAGTTTTTGGCAAACTTCCTGTTTACTTATGTTGGGGAAAATGTAAATTGTGTACATACCAACTTACAGTGAACAGTATTAATTTGGATAAATGTTTAAACTGTTGTTATTATAGTCTTTCTATTCACATTTCGTACAATGTTGATTAATAAGTGTCACACATCTTTCTTAACCTTTTCGCTATAATACTAGATGGTTTATAATAAATTAGAGATAATTTGAGTTGCCAGAATAGTTTAAAAATAAATAAATAATGAAAAACGAATTATTGACAACTATACGACTCACAGGTAACCTAAACGTTACCGTTTTATGATCTACAATAAGGCATTGTGATTATAAATTCATAGTAAATCATGTTTTATACCACATCAGCGCAGTCAAAAGTTCTCAAACATGAACATGCATTAAAATAGGCTAGACTTTACAATGAGACATTGTACTTTCGTTATCCGAAACCTATGACATTGGCAAATCGAAGCATATTTAGACTTTATGTTTGTCTAATTTAATTGTTTTTACATAGACTATGCAACGTCTTCACTCATTTAGGATGAGTCACGAATATTAGAAAAGAAACTGTATGGGTTATACAAATAAACAAATGACGTCACTTTATTTAAATGCGGCTGTCAAAATACGTCCGAACCAGATGATACGGCTAAAGACATTCAGGCCAGTGACGTAATTTATTTACCTTTATATTTACCGTTTCTGTTCTCATATATTAGTCGTTTAAAGGTGAATGTTATTCACTTTTGTTCCCTCGTTGAATGGTACTAGCTACTTATTGATCATTGATGTACCTTGATGTGGGTACAATGTGGGTTCAAGGTTATTCCGTTGAACGAATAAATAAACGGTATCAGCAACCGGACGCATACTTTCTCCCATTCGCGGTGGGAGTTACTAGCATTTTTATGGATGGAGTTACTATAACCGTACCATTTTGTTGAGAACTAAAAGGCTTATAACATACTAAATGTTTATCAAAATATTTCAAGCTGGTTTTTAAAATAAGATTTTTCTGTTATTTTATGGGTTTTATAAGAAAATCAACATTAAAAATCAAAATTTCCAAAAAAAAGAAAAAACCTGGAGCTACCATGGATTAGTACCTACATACATAATTTAATCAAAATCAGACCACAGGTATGGTGTGTATCTCTGTAGGTTTAAGGTACACACAGAACATCACTTTGAAAACCACTTATTTTGGGTTCAGAAGGACCCAAAACAGACATTTCCACAAAAAACTATATAACTCGAAAATTTCGACGGAAAAAACCTTCTCCATATACTATGTATATGGGGGGGGGAATTAAAAATGCAGGGTGTACCCTATAAATGCACATAGTGTGGAGTGGTGGCATCTGTCCATGCTCAATGTTGGTTCACATGTCTTTCCCATGGGGTTGCTCAAGGGATCTTCCCCTTTGAACTGACATCCCCGGGGATAATTTTATCGCCTCCCCCCACCAAGGTGCCCCAGGCTTACTTTTCAATCAATTCAACGCCTCTATCAGTAGCACTGTAATTAACCGTTTCCCCCGTTACAACCCTATGTGTTTTTGGAATACATTAAAGAGCAGTTCGTACAACTTTAGCATTCGTGAAGGGATTTTTAAATAATCGTTGATACATTTAGCGTTGTGAAATTTGTTTTTTCTTTTGTTAAATACCAAACGAACAAAAATTTGGTAGGAATATTCTACTAATATTATAGGTGAGTAAGTTGGGATGTATGGATGGATGGATGGATGTTTTTGTTACAAGTAAATGTGGGAAATACTAAACCGACAGGGTTGAAAATTGGTATGATAGCTTACATTCCCGATTAACATATAGACATATTCTTATCTCAAAAATCCTTTCCGGCTCTGCCCCAGTGGCTCATTTCCCATGTTAACCTTATGAGTATTCATATAAAAAAAAAAAAACTAGTGTAATTTGTTATGGTCCTTATAATTCTTAACAAAATAGTGCAACCCCCTATTGCTGTAACAATTACGGATTGCTTATTGCAACTTTTGTGATTTTCCCTTATAAAATATTAGCGAATTGTCCTAAAAGGAAGTTGCTATTACCGTAGGTGGCACGGTAAGACCTAGGCCCGGGGCCGATTTATTTTTTTTTTATTTTTATGTCCCCAGTAAAAGCTTATGTAAATCTTAAAAGCTGATTTACACTAGCGAGTTCGAGTTGTAATTTATACCCCCGCCACAGCAAACCTACAGACAAAGAGAAATTCCATTTGCCTGGTTGAAGTGTCACTACAAATTATTTTTATAAGATAGCATATTATTTATTTCGTATTTAAGAAACATCAATTGAACTAGTACGTATGGTTGCTGCTACAGGGAATGTAATTAATTTTTTGTGAAATGTTGATAGTCTAGTGTGAAATAGATAAATTTTCAAAATTTGATCAAAATATTTTCATAAACAAGCAAACAACAACAAGTTTACTTATTCTTTACAAGAATAACAAGGGATATTAAATGTTGGTACTTTTTTAAAAATTAAATTATATATTAAATTATTTGTTTTTTAAGCTCTACAAAATATTTTGGAAATGAACTACTAAAGTTTATGTTTTAGGATAAAAAAAAATAGAAAACCCAATTTTTATCCCTTAAGCCGATCACGCTAGTTCGCGAACTCCTTTGAATAAATTTAGGTTCACACGTTTATAACGAAGACAAGATTTTATTTTGATCGAGATTTTTTCGAGACGAGATTATGAAAAAACTGTTAAAAACGCCTGTAGAAAGTCAATGCAATGTGCAATACAGGAACAGGCTGTTGTTGCGTTTTTTTGCGAAGGCGTTCTTATTTAATTTACTCTTTATATTTACTATTGCTTTTTTATATATTTTTCAACTTTACATCGCAAATGATGAGAAGTTTTGTTAAGAGTAAGCAGTTTGAGACATGTTTTACTAACTGTAAACTTTCAAAAGCAAGTCATTTCAAAATGATTCTAAAAATAACCCAAGACTGAAAATTATTAATTAATAGGTACTTAACTAGTAAAGATTTCTGTTTTAGAATTTTTTTTCAAATTCGAACTCCTTACTGTTATCACCATGTTTCCTTCGCGTAAGAGTTATTTTTAATATGATAGGCCAAATTAATATTTGTTTTTTATCCTGATATTGATGTTTGTTAATCAAATATTATAAATATTTTTGCCTATTATTGTCATTTTTGTATTCATCCAGTCATCTTTCATAAATCAGTAGGTATTTAAACGTTGCAAAATCAGATTAAAATGTCAAACGTGCATTTCCCGTTATAGAAGGGAAATCCGGTCTCGAAATCTTATGAGGAATAGAAAAACCCGTCTCGTCTCGAACTAAAAAGCCAATCTCGTCGCTAAGCGAATTCAATCAAAATCGGGCCATTTTTGTCTTAGTCATGATTTCAATCCGATGGTGTTTTTGGCCTCTGGGGGCCTGAAAACGAAAAGGTAAATCGGTCCGGGGTCTAGGTCTTACCAATATACGGAAATGGCTTATACCCTAAATGTAAAGTTTGCTTTTTAAAGGGTCCAGAATTAACTTTTTGATGGTTAAAGTGGATGAAAACTACGTTTAGTACAATGCGAAATAAATCTACTTTTTTCATTATGCTGGTGCAATAGTAGGTTTACACGTTTGTGCTAAATGTCATAAAATGGGATAGTTTTTTACTCGAGTTTGGTAAATTTAACGTGATTGATATACACAGTATCCAAATCCAGACCAACACCATTCGATTTTGATACATGGTATCCCGTATGGATTGCACTTATGATGGATGGTATGGACTATTCAAAATTAACGGGTGCGGGTGCACGAAATTTATCTACTACTAGAACACTAGTAGATGTAAATTATAAGCCAATCGCAGGTCTCAGGTAAGAGACACAACTCTCGGCTTTTCAAATAAAGATATAAATTGATCAAATCCTACAGAGAAGCCTTCAATTAAGGAGTCTGTAAGGATAGTAGCTAGTCATATTCCAACTACTCAAAACTCCCTGCGAGTATCAACTGACACAGAGGACTCATACTAAACTACCGCGGCTTTAAAACGCAATATTGTCCTTTTTTCACAATTAATAAATGGTAGTCTTTCTTTTAGGTAAAGTTTGATTTGTTTTTGTACCTTAATATTATTAATAAACAATTAAACTTAAATGGATTAAGATGTATTTTGTTTCACTGACATCTAGCGGTGAATAGACGAACTCGCCGCACTTTGGGTGGTGGCATCTAGCGGTGATTAGGCGAACTGTTGTGCTCCCCGGACTTTATATCTACACGTGTAGATATAAAGTCAATGCTTTTAGGGAATTTTCCACAGGAAATAAGCTATTACAATAGGCCTCATGGTAAGATCTGGGCTCGGGACCGATTTACTTTTTCGTTTTGAGGTCCCCAGACGTCAAAAATACCAATCGTTCAAATTCACGGCCCGTTGGCCGTACACCGTTGATAACTCGAGCAAAAATGATCCGATTTTGATGAAATTTGTCACAAACGTGTAAACCTACGTTTATTCAAACTAGTTCGCAAACCGGCATGATCGGGCAATGGGAACGGGGGCTTATGGTAGGGTTTATGGGGTACAAATTGTTTTTTCATGTTTGATCTTAAAAACATAAAATTCTCAATTTAATTCTGAACCGTAGAGCTTAAAAACAAATAGTTTAGTATACGGAAGCATTGTTGTATGCCTGATGGTGACGGAGAAAATTCCTAAAAGTGTAAATATAATTCCCACGTTATGTTAATGGATAATAATAAAACTGTTGTAGTTTTCTTGCTTATGGATATATTTTGATTGAATATTACAAATTTCTTTATTTCATACTAAACTAATTAACATACAGTGTTAATAAAAACACACCTTGTTACCTTCTCTGTAGAATCAAACATAAGTCCTCGTTCAAATTTATGTTATAGGAAATTAATGTTACAATCTTTGAGTGGAAATCTACCAGACAAATGGCAATTCGCTTAGTCTGCAGGTTTGCTGTGGCGGGTGTAACATAGATGATCCCACCGCTTACTCATGATAAATGTTGATGGTGAGCTTATGGGAGAAAGTATGTGTCAGATTGCTGATACCATTTACTACATTTATGACAACCGCTAATTTGAACCAACCAGCAACAAATGCTGTGGTACACAATGAGAACTTTACTTTTTTCCATGGTTTAGGTGCAGTGGTAGAACATTATGGCTATGGTAGATTTGGAATACCATAGCATAGCGTATGAATTAAAAGAACCAAATTTTCTTAAATCGTGTCCTCTCCCATAACTGCAATAAGCCTTTTATACTTATAGGCCTATGCCAACCCAGTACGAAAGACGGATACTCTGCTAGTACTGTATTTAACAGTTTTACTATTTTGTAAGTAATTAATTTTATGGACAAGAAATATGTTTAAGATCATTGCTTGGAACTATTTAAGATTTGTTACTTAAAAGTGGTGAAATAATTGGACAATTGTTTATTTAAATATACTATTCCTTATGTTAGCTTTGCACAACCGAACTGTAAGTTAAATAGTTTATTACCATGCTTCGTTCACTGCTGAAATTAATCTGTTAAAATGCAAGAACACTGTTTTGGAGGGAGTTTTTTACATCGGTTTAAGTTCATTGTTCAAATTATAGCTGAAATGTTTTTTTCTTTTGTTAACCACGTAATAAGATTGCAATTTCAATACAGACTCGGCATGGGAAAATAAAGAAACAGGCCAACACGTTTTATAGTTTAAAACATGTTTTAAACATTTACAATTGCTCATTTTTATTTACTCGTTTTGTCATGATCTCATTGAACGAATTTTCTACCAAAACGTAATCTAAAACAACTTAGAAAAATCAACGATTTTATTAGTACGTTTTCAACTACATTAATCGCCACAATACATTAAAAAAGGTTTTTATTTTTGGCAACTGTCCAAATCCTAGTCCTACAGTAACATCCTACGACTTTTGTCAAAACAAAGTCTTTGTGGTTGCAAGTTTTACCCGTGTTTTCCGAGGAACCGAAAATTTACAATTCAAAGACGAAAACATTCCCGAGGTGTTTTCATTCGGGAAAGAATGGAAATTCGTTCCCAATCTGCTTAGGGGCGACCCCGCGTTATCTTGGGGTCATAAATTGTTGCTCCTACCTGTCCGTTGCCATGGCAACCACCCTGTCTCCCAACGGCGCACCGGATATCGCGAGTACGGATCTGTATCCGGTCCAGCACCGCTGTTCCAATTGCGGTCACCCCCCCCCCGCAATCAAAACATTGGGGTTGTTCACACTCTTGAGCCTAATTGTGACTAATTTTGAAATTTGTACCCCTTTTGATCTTGATTAGCTGTTTTGTGGTTGGGTGATTAAGGGGTTGTTATTCGATAGCATTGCAGTTTTTTGATGCTTGTGATATGTGTGAACAGAGGTTGTAATTATTAATTTAATTATAGTGTTTGCCTTCAAATATGGAGGTTGCTGTTTGATTACAAGCAGAGATGTAATTATTCATTCATTAGGCAATTGATTTGATTCTATGTAACAAAAGATTGGTTAACATGATCATTACTTACATAAATACATAAACAAATTCTAATGCCTTTTTTAGAACAAAAATAAAGTCTTAAGAGGTAAAGTACGGTAATTCAACAGAAATTAAAAATCATATGAAAATTCATTTTAAAGAGAAATAATTAGCAAATACTATATACAAAAAAATCTAAAGCTCACCACAAATGCTAATTTCAAATTTATTTATACACTTGTTAAATTCTGAGATACTGCTTCATAATATCATTGACGTTATATCTACACTATCTTCTTTATAGATATAAAGTCAATGATATTAAAGCGTAGAGAAAACTAACGTTTCTTCTTTGGATAATTAGTCTATACGTCTGCAAAGATGATTTTAATACTACCAGAAGCATCAACAGTGCACACTGTACATGGGATCTTTAAAATAATTAAATTGATTGACAAAAAATATAAACCATAATAATAAACTAAATACAGTTCAGTATTCAGTCAGTAAAATAATCTTACTAATATTATAAATGTGAAAGTTTGTGTGTTTGTTTGTTTGTTTGTTTGTTTGAAGGTCAATCACGCATAAACCACTGGATGGATTGGGCTGAAATTTGGCATGATGATAGCTCACATTCCCGATTAACATATAGGCATATTCTTATCTCAAAAATCCCTTCGGGCTCCGCCCCAGTGGCTCTGTAGTTCCCCATGTTAACCTTATGAGTATTCATATTTAAAGGGAATTAAAGAATTTAGTCAGCTGTTTCAACTAAAAAGTTGGTTCTATGATATACAAAAGCATTAAAAAGTTATACGATTTACCAACAGGGTGCAGCACTATATTTTCTTTTGCATTTATGAAAACAGCTAATTTGAACTAAGCAGCAACAAACAACTGTGATACGCAATGAGAACTGTCAAAGTAGGATTGTTTACAGTTAGTTACTTATTAATTTGTAATACTTTTTTTTCTTTATTGTTTAGTTGAAGAAGTAGAACATTATGGCTATGGTAGATGTGTAATACCATAGTATACCGTCAATTTAAAGAAGCAAGTTTTATCAAACTTTGTCCTCCCCCATTGCAAACGCAAAGCTTGAGTTTACTGTAACTGCAATATGCAATTTAAACTTATATGCCAACCCCGTACGAAGGACGGGTACTCTGCTAGTTAATTAATAAGAAGGAAAAGGGCATTGATGATAGACATAACTAAATTTCTCGCTTATTATTCTGTTAATCTAAGTTTTTAAAATGCAATCTTACTCAAGAAATTTGTACTGTTACATAATATATAACAATTTTCATTTATTGAATAACCTTTTTATAGTTTAAAAAGTGTCTAAATATTTTGTAACACAATTTTGTACATATTCATCAGCACTACTAGCAATTTCAACATATCAGGGAACGAACTGGTCTAGTGGTTAGAACGTGGGACTTCGGTTCCCGGGTTCTAATCCTGCCAAATCACCAATGGATTTTATCTAAGTGATAGTGCAGAAGTAATGTGAAAAACAATCCCAGGCTTGTGCCTAGCGTCCTAGGCAAAAAAAAAGCTTTGACTATCATAACTTTTGTGGTACAAGTTTACAAATTATTCGCTGCATTTTATCCATTCCTTGTACACCGAAACTGCCAATATTACTTACACCTTCAGTTCAGTAAGTGAAAAGGAAAAGTTTTGAACTACAAAAGCAAAATCTCCCCTTCTTTGCTAACAATAGAGCACTTTTCCATTGTGAGTCTACCTAAAGTATTAGATACACTTACACCTTTTCACTGGTTACTTGCACTTTTAGTCTTGTGATGGGGTTTTCAATATTTGGGTATTCTTGCTTCTTTTTTGTTTACGAGTGAGTACCGTGAACTTTAAATTAATTTAAGATGTTTTATTTCAATCAGTTAAATTGTCTAGAATCTTAAAAAGTTAATTTTCAAATTTAGGGCTCCCCCTTGTATTTATGCTAAGAACTGATGGATAGGTATATAAATGATATTCATTGATTATTTTTTGTTGCAGACATTGAGCGATCAATTCAGAATGCCCTGGCGTTATTCAACACTAAAGATCTTGATTTGGGAATCGACCAACCCTACGTCATCGATGACCCCATAGTCTCCCTCCATGTAAGACAATACCCATAATATGTACCCATAATACCCATAATATGTACCCATAATATCCATAATATGTACCCATAATATGTAATATAGGAATAAAATACTGTGTTAAATAGCCTCTACAATTTTACAGAGAACTGAAATTATTAAACTATTGATTTGTTTATCTTTCTTTTAAATTCCAAGAAAAAATCAGTTTAGCAAGTATGTGAATGGTATGTGGTGTGTTTGCCTAAATCTGTTAAACCGATAGCCAAAAGTTTGTGATTTAAAGACAAAATTATAGGAACAACAATTATTAATTGAATACTAATTTGTTGTTTATGTGTTTACGATTTTAAAATCTTCTGTATCTATTAGTTAATGACTTACAAAGTTGTTTTAGTATTTCCAAAATTATTTACACCCAAAAAGAAAAATACAGTAAATTAAAATTCCAATGTTAACATTGTTGTAGTCATCATTATGATGTTAAACAATGCCATTCATAAAAAATTATTGCTTAATTTGTAATTTATAGGACCCAAAAAATGAGGATCCGGAAAAACACCTTGAAACTTCAAATTCTCGTAAATCAAAAGAAGTTAAAAATATGTACACGCCAAGGAGTCACTTGAATCAAGATGAAAACCAACAGTTTTACGATGCTCTTCCCTTCACTGATACCAAAATGTCGAAGGAGTCTATTGATCGTTGTTTTCTACAAGATCCGGTTAAAAGCACATTTGAAGAGATGCAAAGAGTTTTAAATACGAAAACTGAAAAGTTTTCTCCACGGATTCAATCGGCGAATCAACAATTCTCTCAATCCCCTCAACAGATGTCTTCATCCCCAAAACATGTTGAACCGTCGCCGGAAGAGATACTGAACATTTTTAGTCAAGATCTAGGAATAAATTACAGTCCCAATGTAACGCCTCGAGTCATTTACCAAAACATCAATACAAACGAAAACGCAAAACCAAAAGAAATGAAGAGGGACAAAAAACCAAAACAGTTAAAACTAAAAGAAAAGAAAGTAGAAACAGGAAAAAGAAAATCGGCCAAGCAAGAAATTACGCATACGGACAATAAAATGAAAGAATTAATGAATATCTATGGATGTGGGGACAAGATGAAGAAACTAAAATCCGATTCAACTATTGGCTCAAAGTCAATGAGTAAAATTGTATCAAGAAAACAATCTAGTGTCAATAAAATTTTGAGCAAAGCAAGTAGTGTAGCTATGTCGAGAAAATCAAAAATCAAATACAAAATCACAAATGATTTAGACATGAATTTCAGTGAGGGGGATTCAGTACCAATAGAGAAATCGAGTAGACTAAGTACAAAAAGAAAGAATAAACAGAAAATTAACAGTGTAAAACCAATAAAAAACCCAAGTTTGAAAAGAAAATTTGCAAATAAACAAATTGATGAGGAAAATTTGAAACCGAGCAAAAATCTGTCTTCTTACAGGAATAAAAGTTATGAAACTCAGAAGAATAATGTTAAGACCTATAAGGACAGTCAAAATGGTCTATTGAAAAACAAGAACCTAAAACATTCTTATCATAATCCAAGGGACAACATAAACAGTCATAAAACTTTGAATGTTAACGATGTAGAGGTTAGCAAAAAGGAAGACTTTACCATCCTCCATGCGATTCCAGATGCAATTGAATTTGTAGCTAAAACTTCTGATCTCCCTTCAGAAACACAAGGTGAAAAACAAAGCACATCATTGAACAAACCATCAAAAATTGCTGATGTGGGAAAAGATCAAAATATAACAAAAAAAGTATCAGAAGAAAAAAATCTAAACAAACCAGTTACACTGAAGAACGATGTTCACCAAAGTTACAAATCAGAATACAACGATATGAGTGATTACGGAAACGAACTGGAACACCCGAACCAGTTCCATTACACTCTTCCGACCCACTCTTCCAAATCTAAAGAGGTGGACAGGTTTCTAAACGGCCATTATCAACACACTTATCTTCCTTTCGTCATCGGTCAGTCAACGAACAAGAGTCACAACCTCTGGGTAAATATTCAAGAGGCGTTGTCACTGATCAAAAACAACATCCCGCAAACTATTGAGATCCAAAATCTATGCAAAGAGAGCGATAAGGATAGCGAACGGCCGTTGACAGTTTTGTCCAAGTTTTCGACGAAAAGTAAAAAGCCGCATCAGTGTCCGGCTTTGATGCATGACGGTCTTTATGATATTCCGGAGACGAGTCGGGAAACGGAAGATGGCGCTAGGTGGGAAGACCATCCGGATTGCGTCCAGGCTAACTTGGATCCGAACTTTTGTCGACCCAGATGTTCTTGTGTTCCCCAGGGAACTCTCAGCTACAAGAAAGTGCTGCAGCAGATCTTCCTGGGGGAAGACGCGACGGAGGGACCGACTGACCCAGTGGATCAAGGAGAGTCGTACACTGGTGAGCTGAGGAAAGCCCTCATCGCGTTCACCCAGGAGTTTGAAGATTTAAACAAGTGAGTGAATGTTCTCAGTTACTGTATTGTTTGGAGGAGTGATTGCAGTTAGCCTGTTCAACATTGATATGATTACTAAACCTTAGTGTAGTAATCTACAACACAAGAAACAAAGCTTGTTGTGTTTTATGAATAGAACAAAAAAAGTCAACAGCTGACAGAGAGCTAGGCAGATTAATAGGGAACCTCCCCATTTTCAGGTCTCAGGTAAAATTTAGGTTTTCAGTGCTCGTAGAAACTTTCTCAATTTACTTCCTTTACATTTTGCATTTTGCTCTAAAGGTTTGGGCTATAGCCATCAATCCGCAGTCCCTACTGGGGAATTTGGTTGTTTTCGAAACCCTAGGAAATAAACCTATAGTTTAATATCGATCCCAGAAGCCCACAACTACAGTCCCTCAAAGGATATCTACCACAAACCGATTCAAAACACAAATAAACACCTTCTTGGTAACCTAAACTCAAAACTGAATAATAACATCTTACGATATGAGCTTGTACTTAATCTGTCTGGTGACAAACGGTCTGTTGATGTTTAAATACCACCATATGCTAGGATTAGGATTCAAATAATAATTTGTGATCGAATGTTTCAGCAAGTATGACAGGTTACTATCAGATCCTGAGTCTTCAAAAGAAGAACTGCAACGACTGGAGGCGTATCTGGAAACTAAAGAGGAGGAGATCAGAAAAATAATAGCAAGGATTAATGAGGTTGGGTTTTTAAATCAATTAAGAATACTAATGTTAATTTGTTGGATCATTTCTAAAAAATTAGGTTTTTGTATAAATTATTCAGGATGATCTAGTGTTGTAAAAGCAAGTGTTTTTACGTTGGTTTCAGCTTCACTCTGAAACTATATTTTGTTCAAAGTTAACAACACATTACCGGTACATATCTTCACAGCGTAACTTCTGCTGGTTCATAATTCAACTTGATTAGTCTCATAAATCATAAAGCAAGATTCAAATGATAGGGACACATTGTAAAATTGATTTATAGGGTGGAACAACTGTGGACTTAATGATGAAGCACCTCCCTAAATTTGAGAACAGTAATTTATTTGTATCCCCCTTATCTTTTTGTGATATCCATTATTATTATATCTTGCTATTGTATTAACAAGCAGTTTTCGATCAATAATATTTATCCAAATATTCTTTAGGTCTAGCTAATGTTTAATTGTTTAATTACATGTACATTCTCGAATTGATAATCTACATACAGAACATTTCCTGTGGATTGAAATTGAATTCAGATAAATTTCCTATCTAAATTTTGTTAATTCATTTGTCATTCAGGACATATTACACACTAAGTCAATTGTTGTGAAATAAGCAGTTTTGTAAGTTCATTTAGGTGAACAAAATAAATCAATAAATTTCTTTGAGATTAATTTAATAATATAAATAAGTTTGAGTGAGTTGAAAATTAGTTAAAGTGAAGCCACTTTGTAGACAACTAATTATATCAATATTGTATTGTTATCCATAGGTGAAGGAACTGGGGGAGAAATCTAGGGCAGAGTATGGGAGAGGCGCTAGTCTGGAAGCGTACCGAAGCACTACGTCAGTGCAGCTGCGGCAGACATTACGCAGAGTGCAGCAGTTCAAAGAAGACATCCGCAGCAAGCCTACCACTCGTAACTGGAGCAGAACCTCTTGTGTCAAGAGTTTGTATTAAAATTATACAACTCACGTCTGTTTATTTCTAGTTAGGGTTGAATTAGTACATAGCTCAGTGTTAGTGTCTTGGGAAGGGAGCGAGCTGGTCTAGTGGTTAGAGCGCGGGACTTCGGTCCAAGAGGTCCAGGGTTACAATCCCGCCAAATCACCAATGGATTTTATCTAAGTGATAATGCCGCAACCCCTAGGTCTAGCCTGAAGTAATGTGCAAAACCATCCCGGGCTCGTGCCTAGCGTCCTAGGACAAAAAAATATAAAACAGTGTCAAGCTGGTCTTGTGGTAAAGTGTGGAACTTTGTTTAACAAAGATACCAAAGGTTCAAATCTTGCCCAGCAATGGAATTTATACAAATGATATTGCCGCAACACCTAGATCAATTCTGGGCTAGGACCTAGAGGAATATTTTTTTTTTTTAAGTGTCTTGGACGGATTAATATAAATTTAAGAGTGAAAATTTAAAAACGTACGTTTCCATGTCCCTGGCCTTTTATTTTGTAGATACTGGATTTGTAGTTTATTATTATGTGTTTTAATATTTTTTGGGACGGGGGCAACATGTTACACACATTTATTTGGGTTTAAATAGGTTCTAGGTATTTTTTCCGTATTTTTAAAGTCTCAAAATTCACGACCATGACGTGTCCCTAGGGTACATTTTCCAACTTTCACGCTGTTTTTAGACTAATTATTCATGCCGAAATATATAAAGCCATATTTTTATGTCATCAATGGTTATTAAACTTACAAAAAAGGAGCATATTACAATTTTATTGTCATTGCAAACAGACTACCATGACAAAATAAGTCTGTCCCTCGATTTGGCGTCACGACCATTTGGGAAAAATTTTTAACTTTGGAGCACGACAGTGGCAAGCCTGGTGTCGATGGAGTCAGTTTGTTTTAGAGACTAGTTCGGGGTGTAAGTCAGGATTATAGTGCCAGTCGTTTCGAGTTGAAAGGAGGAATTACAAGATTAATAAAGGAAAGATTGTGTTTTTTGTAATTTTGGTGTGTCCATGACCGTACATAGTCATTCGATGAAGTAGACATGGTGTTAATTTTTGTTTATAAGATATTTCAATTGCTAGATTAACCTAGAAGTCCACTTTGTATCCTCGAACATGAGGTGCAGGGCTACCGCCAGAACAGAGCCAAATAACACATAATTTCACGACCAAAGTTTCACGACCATCGCGGGTTTTTTCACGACCAATCCAGGCTTATGGATTATAGTGTGTTTGGTCGTGACAATAACTTTAATATAATTGCAAATTGAACAGTTTAGTTCAATTGAAACACATAGTTTTATTATAACTAACAGTATAATTGAAGGATTGTTTAGAAAGATTTAGATTATTCCAGACAATTCACGACCGTACCGCTTGTCCCTGACCATCACGTTTATGATTTCTATCATACAAATTTCAAAAATTAAAATATCGTTATATTTCAATGTTTTATACACAAAAGAAGCACACCTCTATACAAACATAACGATTTTTCGGGTCTCAGGTAAGTTTTTTCGGAGTTATACAAACTTAAAAAGATTTTATCGGCTTTTTTTTCAATTTTTTGAGTTTTTTGATTTTTTTCTAGAAAGACCAAATATACCAAAAGCTCAGTGACCTTTTTATTGTATAATGGTCATAAAAGTAAATTAGTTTATAGCAAAACATAGTTATAAAAATAATATTAACTATTTTTAATATTCATTTAAACGTCCGTTATGGTCGTGACAGGATTTTGTGTTTTTCCACTAAAGATGCTCTTTAAAAAAAAAACTACCAAAGATATTGCGTCACCATGGACATTTTATGAAACTTCAAATGTTAATGAAATAAAAAAAATAATAAAAGTTTTGAAAAAAGGGGAAAAAAATTTGCAAAGTGCTTTTCCTGAAAACGTACGTTTTTAAATTTTCACTCTTAACATTATTAGGCTAGTTCAAGACTGGGTGGCTTGCACTAGATCTTGTCGCTATGGTCACAAATAATAAATTAAGGGAAACTGGAAGTAAATTTAGATGAATAAATCAGCTGATGAAAAAAGAGCTTTAAAGATGGTGATTTTTTACATCAGCTGTTACACAATTTTTAGTTTCTATTGGGAATGACAGGAATTTTCATTGCTTTCCAAAAGTTGATTTTTTCCGGCACATGTTCAAGATTCATTTTTTAAATTCACAACTGAGGTGAAATCGAGTACCCTAAAATGTGTTTATGTTTTGTCAAGATGTATTTTTCTTGAAAATGGCTTTTTTGCCTCCAAGAAATAAGTAAGGGGCTTACCTCAGACGAAACATTCAAAATGTCAATATTCAAGTTTATTAATAATTTAACAATGATATATATTTACAAAATATTCTTATCACTTAATTAGTGTAGAGGTTTTATATTTTACATCTGCACAACACAATGATAACAAATATTTTTATACACGACCTTCAAAGGCTTCTAAGTAACTAAATAGTATGTTAAACAGATTTTATGATACCAATTAGTAGAAGTACTGATACTAAGAAGATTTGTTTGTATTTTTAACTAACATTTTGTAATTAAAATCTGACATTGCCTAAAAAGTTTAGTGGTAGAGGATATTCAGACAATTTAAACCTACAATTATTTGATGAAATCCCTGTATTTTAACCCAAAAATGAGTGAAGAATGAGTGTAGGATGAGTGGCGCGATCTTGTTGTCTTGTTAGTGACCAACGCCGACATGTTCCTTAGACACAGCTGTTAATTAATAGCCCATAGCTAATGGCAACTAAGGGACCTACAGTTTATAGTGGAATCTGAACCACAATTTTTCCTTGTAACAAATTGGTCTAATTATCAGGATAGTACTGCGGATAGTCGTAGTACTCACTAGTGCAGACGTTAATCCACACCAGGGAGCACCTCATCCACAGTGCATTCCTATAAATATCCACAATTCGTGACCTCCTAGTAGCTGGATTACAGGACGACGCCACCTGTCTTTATTTTAAGGGGTAGTAAATAAATGAGTCAACATAAACGGTTTGGTAATTTAGCATTAACTAGAATCATTAAATTTAAGAGGTGCATGTACTACAACTCGCACTCAGAGCTGAAACAACAGACGGTCCCATAAACAAGTTTCCCCGGTACTTTGTGGTTGTGTTTAAATTTAAAGATAATAGCTAAGCAACCCAATTTTCGTGGTTATTTCATACTTCCCGAAATAAAAAAAGCCTCTTTAAATGAAGTCAAACTGTTTTTTTTACAAAAAAATATTGACATACCGCTATGGGTACTACAAAAATACACTGAGAATAGATAAAATAGTAATTTACAAACAATAAAATTGATAATATAAAATAAGTTATATTAATGGGCGGAAGGTTTCACAACATACGTCAATGCTTAATTACATTCACTAGCTGAAGACTAATACTGTTAGGTTTTCTATAAAAAGCTGGTATCACAACTTTAAGCATGCAATAAGGAATGTGTATGATTTTAAAAACCTATTTGTAATTTTAAAATTAAAATTTAACTCAAGGCTCCGCTCTAACTCTTCTATGAGGTAAAATAATATGTAAAGTAATGAGTCTTCTCCTTTGGTAGGTTATGAAATATGAATATTATTTATTATTAGTAGATTGAAAATTTTAAACACATTTCTTATCTTTTATGAAGTTTTAAACTGAATATAACTTATGTTTTAAATTTCAGTACCTTGTGACAATGTATTCTAACACTTTATTGCGCAATCTTTAATATTGTGTAAATACTTAAAGATCTACATTAAGTTTCATCATTGCACATTTACAGATTTTGATATGGTTGAAGAGCGAAGCCTTACTTAAACTGCTTGTTTTTCAAAAGAGCATTTTCACAATTTGAAACTAGTTGATGAGATTTATTTGCTTACAGTACTAAAATGACAAAGTGATGTGACAACGTGTGAAAAGGCTGATATAAACACTATAAATATGATATTGATATTGTTTAAGACACACAACAGTCAGAACACTCTCAATATTTTGTATAATACAGTAGAGTCTCGATAACCTAATCTTTGGCTATTGGACGTTTCCTTTTGACCGTCAAGTACCAATGTGTGCTAGGTGTAGTGTGAAAGTTTTTGATGGTTAAATATAGTTTGTGTCGATAGATAACAAAATTTATTGATTTTCGATACCAACACAACACCTGACAAATCAAATTTGATATCTATATATTTTTTTTTTTAATCTTACCAAACAATATGGATTGATTATACTACATCAACTCCTGCCATTATTTCCTTACACAAAGTAAATTAGATTGATCAGGGTAAATTAGATTGTTCTTTAAGTAAATCAAATTATAAAGAAAAAAACTAGGCAAATCAAATTTAAACCGGAAACATTATCACTGTCTACCATGTTTGTGGCAAAATCAAAAATATCTCCCGCAGCCTTGTAGAAACCATCGTCACCCTTGATCACGGCGAAATTCTTATCTACCACAGTATTTTTTAGACATCATCATCGTTTCCTCTAGTCTCGGAACGGTTAATTGTCGTCAACCGCAATTGTTGCAAAAGCGTGAAATTTGTTATCTTTATCAGATGTGTTGGGTTTAGGTATTGGCATAGATTACTGACGTATCAAAAATTGGTATGAAGAATCATAAAATATTAAAATTGATGCAGTGGATTTTAATTTTCCAAGTTATCTAATCATTCGACTAATCCGATCTTGCAATAACTGGTTTAGGTTGTATGACCAAGACTCTACTGAGTGACCAAAAATACAGTTTGACATTCAATTTTGGATATCACTTAACATTTATAGCAAATTTTCCATACAAAAAGCTATCTGGGCCTAAACTCATGTCATTATATTTATTCTAGCAAACAACAATGAAAGTTTCATAATATTTTATGTACAACATTTAAATTAAACTAAATACAACATCAATTTAGTCATACGGTATAAATGATAGGTACTGTTAAGTACCTATTCTTTATTAATTGTAATCTCAAATTTTTATCTCATAAATTCCTAGGAATTGTCTCAGAAGACTTAAACTTATAATGTGACTAAGCCATGAAAAATAAAACTAAGATGTACAATAAACTGTGTATATGTAAATAATTAAAATAAAATATATAAATTAAAAATGCTAAAAGCTTAAATATTTTAAAATAAATAATTTGTGCTTTTTAAGTTGTAATTGCCAATTTCAAACCTATAGAATGTGCTAAAATATCTAGGTAAATGTTTAATTCAGCAAAATATTACTATGGCAAAGTTCAAAAATTATACAGCGACATGTCTCAGTGCAAAAGCAGCATTTATGCTCTACAAAAGCACAGTGACCAGAAAAAGACTAGCTCTTATATACATACAAAAACACTATGTATCAACATTTTGGTTAACAGGAATGAAATGTTACACAACACGAACCAATCCGTTACTAGCATCCATCATAACACGACACTCCACGTAATCGAACAAAACCAGTGTTTATAATTTTTTATAAAATATTAACTGAGGAAATCGTTGATTTCTGTAGCAGAGAGTTGCTTGGTAGGTTGAGCGGGTTTCATTCCGTTCATCATCGGAAAAGACTGCGGGGCCATGCTGTTCATCGGAACCTTGTTGGCCAGTTGGAACTGTGGAGCAGGGAAGGTGGGGCGAAACTGAGCGGGGGGAGCTTGTCGAGGGGGAGCTTGTAGAGCGGGGGGAGCCTGCCACGCGGGGGCGGCTGCCGGGGGGTTCCAACTCTGATTGGTCCATGCGTTGGCAGGTGGTACAGGTGCAGCGGGGGCAACAGGTGCTACAGCGGGGGCGACTGGCATAGACCACCCCTGAGCGGGGTTGGTGGGGGCAGGCGCCAGTGAGATCTGCTTCAAGTTGTTCTCCATGAGTGACATGGTGAGATCCTTGACGGGGGGTGGAGCACGGGGTGTGACGGAGGTTGGGTTCAGCACTGGCTCCTGTTGTAACCTTCTGGCTACCTCTTGTCTCTCAACGTACCTATAGACAACAGTTGTTAGATTAATTATACCGTTCTCTTTCTTTACCATATTGAAAGATTGACTAAATCAACAAACATTAAAACAAGGACAGGATAAATGGAGAAAAGGGTTGCATTTGAAAATAGGATTCTAGGAGGAACCAACGCGGAAAAGACACAACAGAGACCCAAGAAAACTTTATAAGCATCCAGATTTAATGGTGAAATATAGAAGAATTAGATGAGCTGGCCATATTTTGAAAAGAGAGTCATCTATCTTCAACAAGTAAGATGTTCAGGGTTCCTTGGAAGAAGACCGAGAGGATGATGAGGTTGAAATGATTGTGGCAAGTGATGATGATATAGAGAGAAAGGATTAACTGAGGAAGATTCAGGACAAAGTGTGTTGCTAGCCTAGTAGTTAACGTCTCTAACTTCAGTGCAGGACAGACGGGTTCAATTCCCGTCACGCCCACAAAACATGAGTTTGAACCGCTTTCCCAAAAAATTTTTGATTGACATTCTCTTTTATCTCTTCTAAAAAATGCTAATGGGGTTGACAAGAAAATAAAATACATTGTGGGACGTGTTTGGTGGGACCAAATATCTTCCCAGATATTTCTGGAAGTAAAGAGTTGAAAGTGGGGATGTAAGCAGGACTTCCTACCAGACTTTCCCAACCTTGCACTTCAGACACTTGAGTAATCTTTAGATCAAACTGTACAGATAAATAGATGCGTTTTAATCTTAAATGCCACGTAAGAGCGACCTAAAACTTTTACATAGCACGTACACTGTCTTTGGAATCTGTTAGGTATCTGTGTAGGTTATATTTTAAACTTATTCAAAATCACAGTAAATTGAAAAAAAAATCAACAAATCTAATTCAACTTACCCCTGTTTATCCTGCAGAGTCAAACCTTTGGGCTGAGTTAAGGTGGACAGATCTGAATTGAGAGTGGGAGTTGGTTTAGGTATGCTCGGCTTCATGCCGAGAATCTCCTCAAACTCTGACTGTGTGGGAGGGGCTGAGTTGAAGGTCTTCATGTTCATATCCATGTCCCTGCAATGGCAATAATATAGGATATTGGAGAAGACATTCATCGAAATGTAGGCTACCAGCGAGTTTTTTATTCAATGAGTACATAGCAGAATGAATTACGTAGTGTACAATTATTGATATTATAATTTCTCTTATAGTTTGATACAGATATAGTTACTAGCTTAAAATAAGTTGTTGCTATAGTTAGGTATGGTTAACGAAAATCTTTTATTTACTTTCCGTAAATTTAATAACACGTGCAATGCTGATAAGAAGTTCCCTAACGAGATATTATATAAGAAAACCGTATATCACAGCATTACACTATTAGCGACTCAATATAATACTTAAGACTTATTTTATTTGGTTCGACTAAAGCTTTGACTTGGAAATGAAATGTCTGTAGCCGTAGATGCCACATCAGTCTTGCAAAGGTTTCCACTTCCGTAAACAAGGACATTAGCAAGGAAAAACTAAAAACTATTGGTATGCTCTCTATGTAACCTGACAAGTATCATGTGTCCACAAATCTTGCCAAAGTACGATCCTTCAAGCCTTCCATTTACTAAGTGAATTGTTCTCTAGCCATCTAGCGTCACAACTGGATAAAGCAAAATTTAATTCTAAAAAAATCTTTCTTAACAGCATTCCTAAAGAAATCTTCAAGCACACAATTTCAAACTCACTTTTGCTCGTTCTGTATAGAATTGAGCTGTTCCAGTTTGACCTTCTGCTCGGCCTCCACACGGTTGACCATCTCCTTGATGACTGCGATGATAGCGTTGAACTGGTTCAGCGTGAGGGCGTTCTCTATACTGAGCGGCATCAGGAACGGAATCACCTTGGTTGCCATCACCTCTTTGGTCATTACAAACTTCTTGTGGTTCAAGACCAGTTTGTAAATACCTAGGATGGAATAAAGATATTAATAGACACTGGAATACTTATGTATGTAGGGCTTGTTGCAGAGACATCAGTTCTTCAAAGATTTGTCAAATTTTGGTCTTTAGACGTGATTGAATTACATTGTATCCTGCCAAGATGGATTGACGCAACCCAATCATCTTTGGGACTATTAATCCCCTGAGATGTCGTCCAGTATTTTTTCTTTCCCAACAATAGTCATCTCATAGAAGACCAAGATTGGACAATTTACTTGTGGTAGCCTAGCTTCTAGGTTAGGATATGAATATAAAATATGACAAGTTTTGTTTAAAAATTGCCATTGAGTATAAAATATACCTAAAAAAATCAGGAATCACTGAATTATAACTAATGAAGTTATCCAAAAGAATTGTCATATACCACACATTACTGGAGATAAAGATGTTAACAAAATTCAACAGAAAATATTGAGAAAAATTTGAAAATTGTCAAAATTATCTTACATAACCCCCTGGATGGTCCAAATTCTGTGGACAGACTCTTTATTCTTATTCTGTGGACAGATGCAGAGGATTATTCTTTTAATTCTAGTTCTTATTTTGGACATAATGTGGAATAACCCTCTTACTTCCAACCCCAAAACTTTGCTGTGCTTTTTGTCAAAAAGTAGTCCAAGGTTTACCAAGTATTCCCATGAGGACGGCTGGTTCTCGAGAGGGTATCTGAGGCAGGAACGGTAACACTTCGTCCAGTACAAGCCACTTGTCCAGGTGTTCCAACAGCTTACCAACACACACGAGACAGTTGACCCTAACCTACAACACAATACCACAGCTCAATACAAGAGTCAACAACAGAGTGCACAAGAATTAAGACTTAAAGTTCAAAATTGTTGATGGTAGAAGTAAAATCAATGAAAAAAAAAATCTGCACAAAGAAGTAAGGTACAGAGGAAACTTGCTTGTATGACTACTTCGCGATTTTTATCTCTGGGATGTTGTGCCGGATTTGTAATGAGCAAGGAGGAGTCTGAACGACGAGCGCTCTGAAAAAATTCCTATCGACAGGGTTTCCTTTACCGTGAGCGCAAAGGAGGGGTGTCAGACATTTCCCTAGACACAGCCATTAGAGCTAGACACCACTTAAGTATACCATTGAATGTTTCCTCTGTACCTTACTACCTTTCTTTGGATTCTGGAAGACCATTTCCGTTTCCGTCTTGTAAATTGTTTCTACAAATTAATTAAGTTTTCCACCTGCACTAAATTAACAAAAATCCTTAAAACTTATGCGGGTATATGTTTAGTCTATGATTCTTCTTGGGATATGGTTACGGCATCTAAACACACGTAAATCAGAGACTCACCGATATGAAAGAAGTTGATATGCAAAGCCGCTTGATTCTGGGCAGCAGCGCGTTCTTCATCGACGGGTACTCGATGAGTGTCGCGTAGTTGGGTAGCACAGACAGGCAGAGTTCTTGAATTTGCTGAGCATCCGCTTCCAGCGCTCGATACAACATCGGCAATACATCAGACTTCACCTCTTCTGGTGGACATAGCTTCAGAAGCAACTCCATCTTCTGCATGAAGATCAGCAGGATCTGCGGAAACAGATGGCTGTCAAGGTAATGGAACATGGCTGTGATAAGTGTTGAGGGCATGAGTATTTTGAAGAGTTTGAAATGCTTTCCATAGACAGAGTAGAAGACATAGAAAAGGTGGAAAACGAGATGGGCGAGTTGGAAAAATGGAGACGAGAAATGGCAGATGGTGGAGGAAGAAGAACTGTGGAATAGAAGAAGATGTTTTTGATGGTCAGAATCATGACCCATCTGTCCTTGATCAGTAAACTTTTTATCAACGTACCTGGCTAAAATAACCAGCCGATCTTAGTCAGAAACAAAGCTATCATCACATTCGTACAACACTCATTTTTTAAATTTATTTTATACACACCCTAGTGTGTAAAAATCTAACCTAAATGTAATCTAATCTAGCTAGTTTTTTAAAAATTGGATCCAAAGTGTCATTGTGTCCAAAACTTAGAGGTTATGTTTTTAAGACTGCTTCAATCTTTAAGCGCATACATAATACAGTAGACCCCCTCTTAACCGACCTCGTATTAACCGATAATCGGATTATCCGCTTTCGATCGTAAAATAATACAGTTTGTTTTAACCGACCTTGCTTTGAGAGCAGCTCGGTTTAACCGCCGCTGTCTAGGAATCTCGGCATTTCCGCTCCCACGCTGGGCGATGAGAACTGAACCATACGCTTATCTCCACAGGATATGACTAACAATAAGTTATTTTGTGTTGATCACAACAAATATAGCATAGCCTATTGTCAGTTTGTCATCATCGTTCGTAGCTCGAGCACATCTGATCTGATTTGTTATCTGGGTGGCAAATTTATAACATCATAAAGTGCGTTACGATTTTGAGAACTGATTATCTTATCACCGGAGTAAACAAACAACGCAACTTGTAGGGAAGGCAGGGAAGGGGGGTTAACAACTCCAAGGTCAAGATAGTTTTTGTGCCTAAGCCTCCAGTGAGAGGCTATAAATAAACGTCCTGTCTTGTAACAAAATTGTCGCTTGTATCTTCAATGTCGACAAAAGGTTCTGTACTGTATTACGATGTTATTTGGAAAGCATCAATTAATACATTACAGTAGGCGGAGTAGGCCTACTAAAGTTATTAAAATAGGAATTTTATTGACTCTTGCCTAGTATTATAATATATTCCACTGAAAGTAGGCCTATTAGACTTAACCGTGTTTTGGCTTTATTTGAGACTTTTCTATCAATATGAAAAAGGAGATAAGAGTAGTTTATCTGATAAATAATGCAAGTATGATTTCAAAATAATGATTATATAATTCCAAATGAATAGCACTTCATTATGTTATGATTTTAGAGATTGCCCGTTTTATCCGACCTTTTGAGTTATCCGACCTAGGTCCGGTCCCATTAGGGTCGGTTAAGAGGGGGTCTACTGTACATTGCATCATATCGCTTAGAATTTACCTTCCCAGTAAATCATCACAGTTCAAACAAATTTCCTAAAGGAGCATCATCCCATTAGTAATGTTCTAGAAAGTAAACGAAAAAGGAATATTCTTTTTGTCTACCTACAATTATATTATGATAAATATTAAATAATTATGATACATACCTGAATCGGATCTGTCATTTTCATGACAGGCTTAAGGTGGGGAAGAATAAGTTGAGAAAACTCCTCTTTGGAACAATTCTCCGAGATGAGCAAAACATTGGGCAGAACGAACGGAACCATCGTTGGGTTCACAAATTCCTTCACCAAACAAGGAATAACTCTGAAACATCAAGCCAATAATTACAAATATTTTGCAATCATTTTTTTAATATTGTGTTCGTCAAACAGGGTGATTAGAGCAACTGCCATACAAATATCAGGGGTCTCTTACCTGGCAATTTTCATGAAAACTCTATGTGTAAAATACAATTACTAGGTGTTACTTGTCACGTCTTCATCCACGATTGTGATTTAATTAAGTGAATTACAAAACAGTACACTTTCTTTGTTTCAAATTTGGTAGCATATTTATATTGTTACAAGACTTTAATTTACGTCAAGAAGTATTTTTCAAGGGGACAGTCCAATGGTATAGCTTTGTAGTCTTAACAGTTACTCTATAGAACTAACTTTAAATAACATTACTAGTAACTACGTTAGGTGTAAATGTACCAAGTTACCTGAACAGACACACTCTATGTGGTAGTTTCTCAATTATTTCGGGAAGTCCCTTATAAAACTGAGACTTTTGCAGGTTATCCCACTGGAACAAAGAGTCCAAGTAGTTCAGAGTTTTTACCCCCACGTCATTGAAGAAGTCTATCTGTAAACAATGAGAAACAATTTGAATACGTTTTGGTAAAAAAGTTAAATAAAGAGATGTTAAGTAAGATTTAACAGTGAACTTGTATGCAGAACTCCAACAACTATTCGAATCACTTAGGAAAGAATAAAAAAAACTATAACCAGTGATAAGGATCAGTGAAATGAGGCAGAAGCCGTGATCACAGTAAAATCCTGAATATCTCCCACGGTAGTGTAGACATCATCGTCTTCTGCGTTCATGGAAACATCATCGTCTACCATGATCGTGACAAAATCTTAAATACCTCTCGTGGTCGTACCTCATCATCATTTTCCGAGATCGCAGCAAACAGCAAAGTATTAAAAAACAACCACAAATAAGTAGACATCATAATTGTCTTTCCCGATTGCTGCAAAATCTTTAATATTTTTCACAGTTTTATAGACATCGTCTCTTGTGGTCACAGGAAATTATTATCAGTCTCCTGCGGTTACAAAATAATACTTTATCATCATTCTTTTTTATGTATAGACATCTTCATTGTCTTCCACAATCATGGCAAAATCTTCCACATCTTCACGGTCTTGTGAACATCATCATCATGTCCTGCGGTCACAAAAACATCTTCCCTATCGTGATAAAAGTGTAAATTTTTCAATCCCAAACTCTTTGAGGACAAGTAAAATAATAAAATACCACAAGGTAAAAATCAAACTACCCAAATTTTTTGATAAATCGGAATGTGGTAAAATTGATATTTCAATTGATTTGGGTGGATAGAGTTTTACTGTATTAGGTTCAATGTTTTTTTTTTTTTAGACTTGAGAGTTATAAGAAAGAAGACACTGACCTTAAGAAACTCGTGTTCGTCTGGTCTCAACTCGGGCTTGACATTAAGCATTAGTCTCACCATGTCTCTCAAACCTTCAGCTACACACATCAGTTTGGACAATGGTAGCTGCTTCAGCTGTAACAGACAACACATACTTTTTTAGGATTAAGCATTATGATTTTGATCCAATGTAATGACGCCATTCGTGCACATGTTAACAAAGTATGAATAAAGTTTATTTCATTTCATTTCACTTTAAAATCTTCAAGATAGGTCAACTGCTGGATTGTCAAAATTCAGACATTAATTACAAGAGTAACTTAATTAAAAATACACCTTCAACTACCTTTGCAGGTAGAGCTCAAGAAAAAAAGCTGAACTCTGCATTTGAAATGTGTTGCAGCCTGGGAAACATTTTTGAAAATTATAATACTTTGTTAGAAAAACACACACAAATTATGATTTTAATTTTTACTACGTGATATTTATAAAAGGCCTTAATCACTCATTAAAATAAAATTCACTATGTTTAATCACACTTTACATGTAAAGGTCAGTGATTTTTTTCATCACTTTCATTTTTCTTTGTAGTTCATAAAACTTATATCTTCATGACCTCAGTGGCAATGGCAGATCCAGAGAGGGGGCGAAGGGGGGAGACCTGCCCCCCTTGGGCATACATATACATATATTTTTTTACTGCATGTAATACAGTGGTGCTTACAAATTGCGTACAATAATTTGTCACACTAATCTATATATATAAAAGGCAAAGCCCTCACTGACTGACTGACTCACTCACTCACTCACTCATCACTAATTCTCCCACTTCCCATTTACCTAGGAGGCTGAAATTTGGTACACTGATTCTTTAGGCATTAAATAGGAAAACTAAGTAGTTTTTATTCTGATCGGACTCTCGGGCTCCGCCCCAGTGGCTCTGGAGTTTCCCATGTTAACCTTATGAGTACTCATATTTAAATGGAATTAATGAATCTTAACAGCTGTTTCAATTAAACAAGTTGGTTCTGTTCTATGATGTGCAATAGCATTAAAGTTACGAGGATTACCAACAGGGTGCAGCACTATTATTTTTTTTAAATTATGACAGCTAATTTGCAACCAAAAGGTGAGTGAGCGTAGCGAACGAACTTCAACCTGGAGGCGAGTTAGCGTAGCGAACGAGCTAACCTGAAGGCAAGTGAGCACAGCGAACGAGCTCCAACCTAAAAGTGAGTGAGTGTAGCGAACGAACTTCAACCAGGACGTGATTGAACCATGCGAACGAGCTTATCTAGAAAATTAAGAAGTTAAACGGGGCAAAGTCCGCGGGTACAGCTAGTTTTGGATAAAGTAATGGTATAACACTGCCATTTTGGAGACTTAGTTTACAGACTGCTGAGTGGTGTAGGTATACATTTTTTAGTGTGGGAACGCTCACAAAATTTTTGGAAAAATACTGGTTCCTTACCATTATACAAGTTCTTTGGAAAAAACTGAGTGGTTCCCACAAATTCCCGCCTCACTACAAGACTGACTAATTTCTTTTACCGCAACAAGATAAGAAAAAGTCACTAGATCCCTACAAAAGTTTGGTGAAACCAACTTTTATAAAATTTATGGCGGATAAACCGATCTGTACTTTCGTCTGGGAAGATTCGATTAATCTGAGCGTCAGATGATCCAAAGTCGGTTTAAAGAAAGTCTACCGGAATAAAAACTACAGAATTTTGGCATTTCAGAAAAACTCCAGGTAGGTAGTAATAATGGTTGCCATTTCATTGAAAAGTATTAAAAGTATCAATGTTGGACCAGATAGTGGCAAAACCAGGGTTTAGACTCTTCGCTTACAAAAACTTTTAAAAATGCCAACAGCGTAGATATACACAAAAATATACACAAAAATATACACATATAGACCTTATCCAAGGAAGAAGTATACATAGTCCTTTGATATTACAGTGTATGCATTTCGTCCACAAATACTTTGCGACTACTGTAAAAGCACAGACGCTGACCTCATTGATGTTTCGCTTATAAGACATCCAGTCTTTGTTGGCAGTCAGCAGAGGTTGGCCGTCGTTGTACAACGCTGTGATGACAGCTCCCAGGCTGAACATGTCACTCGCTGCTCCGTTACTTTCCGTCAGGGCTACCTACATCACAAAAAAATTGATTTTCACGTCAATCACGTCTCAACAAGAATCAAAAACTTTGAGTAGTTGAGGTACATCCGAGACAACTTTGACTTGTAAGTATCTTATTGGTATTGCACAAAACGTGATGAAAAGGTGCATTGGTCCTTACATACCTCAAATAACATAGTTACCATAACCAATAGCGAACTTCAAACAAAGAATGGAAATTATGCTAAGGCCAAATATTAAATTTTACTTCTCTCCCTATAAGCTGATTTTCCTAGATACAGAAGCAGAGCACAGGGTCCGCTCTCCTCTTGTATCAAATTTAACCCTTTCGATGCTGGAATTTTGTTGTTGTAATTTTCCAAAATATGCTAGAGTTATTTACTTAATCAATCAATCAATCAATCAATAAATCTTTATTCAATACATACAACAAGTGTACATGAATGTGTCATCAACCTAAAACTACTTCACATGATTTCACCTACTTCCCTACTTGCTTAGTCATACAGTTTTTTTGTTACAGTGTTCAAAACTTTCCAAACTATAAAATTCGCTATAAATTAAAAACCCCTTAAGTTTATTTTTGAATTTATTTACGCTACTTTCGTTTCTAATACTGCTGGGGAGGGAATGCATGAATTTGATTCCAATATAATTAGGACTCTCCTTAAATTTTTCTTTTTTATGTTTTTTAGTTATGAAGTTAAGTTTGTTTCTAGTGTTATAATTATGTACGTCTTTCTGTCTTTGAAGTTCTGATTCATGATTTTTAACATACATTATCGTCTTATAAATATAGAGACTGAAAACGGTAAAGAACTCTAATTCTTTAAAATGATTTTTACAGGATTCGTTTATATCGAGATTAAGGATACACCTAATGGCTTCTTTTTGTAAATGTAAAATTTTGTTTAAATTTAATTTACTTGTTCCTCCATAAATTTCTATACCGTAAGAAATATGTGAGTGAATAGTAGCAAAGTAAACCTTTCTTAAGATTTCTCTGTTGCATAATGGATATAAGCGTCTAATAGCAAAAATACTTGAGCTGATTTTATTACATAAGTTGTCAACATGTGAGGTCCAATTAAGTGTGCTATTTAAGGTTAGGCCTAAAAATTTAGTTTCATAAACAAAATTGTTAAACAGTTCTTTTCTAGATTTTTTAGATTCAAACTCAATGAACGTTGTTTTATTTTCATTTAGTAAAAGATTTTTTTCATTCAAGTAATCTTTAATTATTGTGAGTGAATCATTAGTTTTATTTATAAGAAGCTCCATATTCTTATCATGTATCGACATACTTATGTCATCTGCATACAAGCACAGAGTATTATTTTCTACATGTTCAAATAAATGTTTTGGCATCCCTCCCAAGTAGCACAAGAACAAGAATGGGCCCAACACTGATCCTTGTGGCACTGAGTATTTTACTGTCCTAACCTCAGATTTAATATGGTACATTTTATTCCCACTTAAATGAACAATGTTAACAAACTGTTGGCGTCCCTCCAGATAAGATTCAATCCAGCTTAACTCTTTGCCACCAATTCCATACATTTTAAGTTTATTTAGTAACTTTAAATGGTGCACGCTGTCAAATGCCTTGGACATATCCAAAAAGGCACCAATTACTTTGTTGTCCTCATCCAACTTTTCCAACACATTTTCAATATAAGATATAAGTGCTGTAGTGGTGGATTTGTTTTTTCTATAACCATGCTGCTCTTTATCTAATAAGTTATTAATTTCAAAATAATCTACTAGCTGAAAAAGAAAGCATTTTTCAAATAATTTTGAAAGAGCTGGTTGAATTGCCAATGGTCGATAGTTATTTGGATCTTTTTTGTCTCCTTTTTTATATACCGGGATAATTTTTGAAATTTTCAGCTTATCAGGATAAACACCTGTTATAAGCGAAGTATTAATGACGTGTAAAAGTGGCTTTAATAAAACAGATTTAGATTCTTTTATTATTCTAATCGGAATTTCATCATAACCTGATGACCATTTAGGTTTTAACTGGTCTATTATGGATATTAAAATTGGTTCATCAATTGTTTTGCACTTAAACTTAGTGTTTGAAGCAAAATTTTCAGAACTAGTTTGGGTTTTATTCAGATTTGGTAAAACATGATGTTCCACCATATCAGCAAAATTATTATTTAATATATTTGAAACAGCATATGGGTCCTCTAACTTATTTTGTCCTAAAAGTGCTAGGATTGCCACGGGGGCAAAGTCTAGTGTAAGAAAAAACATTCGGTAAACAAAATTTTTAACCTCAAAAGTGCTAAGGAACGATATGTTGGGCCTCAATCGTATGAGGAATCGAAATGATCCATCGATGTTTCAAAACAAAAATCGAGTCAACCAATATGTCTATTTAAAAACTCACACGAAAGTGGCACCAGCACGATATATCGTCGATTAGCACTTTTCCGATGAAACGCGAACGATATATTGTTCCATAGCACTTTTCAGGGAAAAGATGCACAACGATATATCATCGCATAGCACCGAGGGGGGTACGGTACTATTATCCTGGGAGTGAACATACAATGTTAGTATAAATGGAGGTGAGTGTATGATGAGTACCCAGATCTTGTAGTCTTGTTAGTCACTAAGGCCGACACTTTCCTTAGGCACAGCTGTTAATTAATAGCCCATACGATGGCAACTAAGGGACCTACACAGTTTATAGTGGAATCCGAAACATTTTCGCCTTGTAATTTACAAATTGGTCTAATTATCAGGAGTACTGCAGACTTTACTCCACACCAGGGAGTATCGCATCCACAGTGCATGCCTATAAATATCCACAGTTTGTGACCTCCTAGTAGCTGAATTATTGCAGTATTTTACAGTTAGTAGACCCACCTCTGGGGCGAGATAGTCCAGTTCTGGCTGCGCCAATGGATGAACATCTGGCTTGTACTGCTGCCACAGCCAAACAGGCTGAAAAATAACCAGATTATACCATTGACTTTGAATACTGAAGACAACAACGTATATGGACCAGCAGTAAACTAAAAAATTAGCAAACTGACATATACATCCTATTAGTTTGTCAATAGCCATTCTGCTGGGTAAGGGGTGGGAGTAACTATGTTATTTTTTGGGTGGAATAAAAAAATTAATAGCTTTTTAATTGAATTTAATTGAATGAGTGAAATTGCCATAGGCCTATTAGGCTAGTAAATAAAAAAATCAAAATTGTTTGAGCTGTTTTGTTTTTGTAGAAATCCGATTTTATTGGATTATGGAAAAATCGACTTTCACAAAAATAAAAAACACTTGGAGGTACCTTAGATTACGGTTCACAAACCAAGAACCAAGGTAATTAAAACAGATAACAACAATAAAACAAAACGAACTGATGTGAAATTGACTGCATTGTGAAATGGAAAAGTCAGCTGTTGCTTTCAAAAACAAAACTCCCTTCAGTGCCAGCCGTTATCAGTTAGAAACAATAGTAGTAGTTACCACATTTTTTCTTTCCCTACAACATATCATTGTTGCAATTGTTTAAAGTACTTATATTTAGCTTTAGCAATAGAATTTCACTTAGCTATATTTTTCTGCTTGTGAAGATATAGTGAGTAAAATGCCAAATTGATAAGTAACTTAACTATTATCTTTTTCTGTGCAATACATTTAGAGTTTAGACTGCAATAAGTCATAAACTGTTCAAGCAGTTAAGTAACAAAATAATATTTGTCCAAGAATACAACCAAAGAGAGATGCAGTCATGAGAATTGATACTAGACGTTTCGTTTCTTTATCAGTGAGTGTAAATAAAAGGTTTGATAACAATATTTGATGACGGACTGAGAAACAACAGTTATAGTTTCATAATAAACATTTCTTATAGATTACAGGATTGAAACACTATTGGAGAAACACCAAGAAAAGTTTTTGGCACAGATAAATAGTTATTTGTGTAACTAGTGGGTAAAGTGGCACTTTGCTGCACACGAGAGCAATGTTTACGCACGAGCCGCAGGCGAGTGTGGAATGATCTCGAGTGCAGCAAAGGCCTTTTGCACTCGTGTTACACACTATATTTTTCCTACAGTCACTATAAAGCATATAAATAATTAGTCTTTCAATCACTGTACAGCACGTTTTTAGGTTCAGCTGGCAACACAAATAGGTGCCCTAGAGAAAGTAGTACCCAGTCCGTATCATTCCGCTATTTTTCCTCGGCAAGAAATGTGCTCCGCGTTTTCAGAATATAGTTCCGTATGTTTTTGTAATTTGAAGTGGTTTCCGTGCCTAAAAAATGCTTTAAAGGTATTTTCTTGTTTATTAAGATCGTAAGAATGTTTTAAAAACGTTTAAAAGAAAAGTCCAGAAAGTTCATAAATACCGAAACTATAAACACGAAATGACAGGTTAAATCGTAGTTATAATAGTCAATCAGCTAGCTGCTCATAGTATTGTTATCTTTAAGTGTTGCCAACCTATTTCCAAGCGTACACAGATTACGTGCATAATAGAACTACGCTGTTATAAGTTGTTTCGTTGGAATCCTGATGTGCGGCAAAGTATAAACCGTACGACAAAGTATAAACCGTACAGCAAAGTATAAATATGCAGCAATTAGCAGCTTTCTGTACTATAAACAGAACAAGGAAGCCAACTTTGTCGGGCGACTGTAGGAAAAAACTATTAAATATTGATCAATATTGATCATTGTCAAAAATAAATAGGCTAAACTATACTAGGGGTCACGAGAGTCTGCAGTTGGTAGCAGCCAATATAAAGAATGGACCAGCAACATCACTGTTCACTACTTTTCGACAATTTAATTAAAATATAGGCCTACTAAACAATATGTTCAAATCAGCTGGTATTATTAGATTTGACAACACTGTAACTGTCATCATTGGCTCCTTCGAAGTCGCGTGGTAAATAGGCACCTCCCTCAACTGCAGACTCTTGTGGACCGTACTGTAGTTATTACAATGATTTAATACTGAACATTTAAACCCAAGTGTATAATTAATCTGCCTTCTAACTATGATCCATTCACAAAAATTAGGTGGTTTGAGGGAATGTTTTCTCGTAACTTTTTTTGCTTAATGTATCTTACAGCTGATTGACGGGATGGATAAATGTTTGCTTTAATATCAGCTGTTGAGCTATTGTAATAAAGGTAGGTCAAATGGAGGTGATAGAACCCTTGGAACCTACATTTTGATATCGGAGTATAAAACTACCCAAAGACTACCAAGGTATTGACAATAATAAGTAATAACCAAGAAAATACTCACAGTAGCCGCAGCAGGTTGAGAATTCAAAATGCAAAAATCGAAACCAAAGATTTTCCAGGCGCCTTGTTGGTTCACAACAATGTTTTCCGGCGTCAGGTTGTGGTGCAGAATTTTCGCATCGTTGTGCAAAAATGCAAGCCCCTCTCCTACCTAGAAATGTTATAGTTTGGTTAGGCCCTACTACAATACTTTTGGCATTAAACTGTATCATTTCATTAATATAGTGAGCGAAATGCTGTATGATTTTAGAAAATGAAGTCGAGAGCTTTCCTTATTTTTAATTTTTTTTACGTTGGCAGCCTCTGTTGCCTTGTATGTGCCCGTCCACATGGGCCACTGAGGCCTGTGCATGGAACATATTCAGCAAAGCAAGGGCTTAGCCGGTACAGTACATGGGTTATACCGATAAAAAGTAGTGGCATGTACGAACGGGGTGAAGCAAAAACAAGGAAACCCAAACGCTAACAGTGTTTCATGAATATTGCAACAATGATCGATCAGCTGATCGTCAAAAATTGTTGAAAGTATAGTGTTTTTTTTTACATTTTAACAGTTTTCACCAAGGCTAGGACTACGATAGCCGCAGCACAGTATTCAAAATTGTGTTGAGTGTGTTGAATAATATTTTATCATTTATTTTTGGGTTTCCGTTTTTTTGCACCCCCCAGTACCAGAATCCAAACCCATGAAAACGCTGCCTTGGGCATTAAGTCCATGGCACTACCGACTTTGTATCGATGCTATGTATAGACTGAAAAAGACATTCATAAGACAGCATAATTTATTACAACTCCAAAAAACAGCTGGACCAGATAAACCCAAAGATGCTCGACCATGACATTGGTTGTGTCCGTACTGTTATACTCACTTGCAACAGTCCGTACTTGATTTCCACTTCAAACAGTTTGTAGTTTTTCAACTGCGGACTTGGCGGTGTCGGAGTATTCTCCAGTTTGCCGAGGATGTTTGCCAAGCTGGCAAAGACTGGCTCCGTAGCAAAAGCTAAACTGTCTCTGAAAAAGGAAAACCAAATAAATTTTCACTAAAGAATAAGTAAACAATTGCTACATACATCAAATAACATTGAGTAGGCTAATATTCTGGCTGATATGTACAACTAAAACATCCGCTTTCATTCTAGTTATTTTTGTCAGGCCATTTAAACCAAGCCTCTCCATCTTCTCTAATCCACAGTTCTAGGTTTTTTCTTCGCCTCTTTTAACTATCAAGGTTCAACTCCAAAAACATTTCTTTGGAATATTCTTTTTTTATTCTCACATTTTCAAACCTTCTTAATATTTTTATGCAAGAGGACTTACAACACAGGGGGTATACAGGTTTATTGCGGACATTTTCCTTAAACCTTTAAGGTCCTTGCAGAATAATCCTTTAAACAACATTAACTTACTATCACCAATGATGAACTACAAACAAGAGGAAATATTTTAGAGACATCTTGCTTTATTTTGGATGGAGGCAAATTAGCCCATTATAGCTATTATAGTTATTACATGAAATCCACGGCACAAATAGTGTTAATTGGTAACCGCATCAATCATCACATACTTAAAAACAAATATAGGCCTAATAAAACCATCAACCTCTAATAACCAAGCAAAGAGGGGTTGGTGTTTTGGACTTGCAGAGTTATTTGTAAAACTTGAGGTTTGGACTGCTCCAAGAATTGTGTTTTCAATTATATTATGCCAATAGTTTTGATTTTTTTATATTAAATGTCAAACCCTCAAACAAACTCTTACCTGGACTCTTCGCAAGGATGGTGTACAACCAGAATCTGCGGATGTCTAAGCCTGGTCAGTTGTGATGCTCCTCTCTTCAGAGAACTAAGGATGTCTTCTCTATCCTGCTTGGTCCATCGGTCCAACTGTCGCTTCTCAAAAACAAATATGCTCGCTTCTTGTCTCGTAGACTTTTTGTATCCGCTGTAAATCTTCCAGTGAAGGCCTAAGGGAATCAAAGTTGACTGTTCAAATTACCAAATAATACACGCAAGCGTAGCGTTTTCTTCAGTCTAGGAACCAACGGGTAACCAATTCCTGCTGTAAACTCTAGATAGATATTTTTTCTTTTATAAATTATTACGATAATGGAATAAATGCAAAAAATTACTGTTTCTTGTGGTCAAATCAACTGAAAAATATAGTTGAACCGAATTTTGCTAATGGAAATTCACTAGCAAATATCAAATATTGCATTGATAGCCATACTAAATCTATACTTATAATCAATGATATCCCCAAGAAAAGGACTAGCCTGAACTGTTAAAAGAAAAAATTTCAGTTATTTTTCTTCCAAAAATTTAATGATAGCCTAAATAGGCCTAATAGAGGATAACTTCAAACCAACCACATATAAGCTACCTAAGGAATTCGTTAATAAAGTTAGGCAATACAACTACCTAGTTAATATTTGAAAAATATTGATTACTTTCAATCATATATTTGTAGTTCAATTGTACCTATGCAGTTCAATCATAATACTGCAACAGAAGTTGATTCAGTAGGAACCAGAGAAGCATACGTTAAAAAATGGATACCAAAAGTCTAAACTAAGGGTCTTATATTATAACTACGTCTAACCTGAGCCAGCGCTGGCGATGTGAGCAATCACCTCATACTCTCTGGTGACCGGGTTGCCAGGCAACACTCCCTGGAGTTGGGAGACAGTCGTTGACACAGTAGAATAAAACTTGTTAAACACATCCATTTAAATTACCTGTAAACAAAGCAATAGACAAATCTCAAACTGTTAACTAACATATCTTTTTTAAGGATTTCTTATCCAGAGTGTCCAGCTTCCACTAGGACTAACTCCAGGAAATGGTTTTATAGGTCAAAATGAAAAGAAAACAAAGAATACAACTTTTTCCGGAATGGTTTTGTTAAAAAGATATCTGTCTTTGTACCCATTGGCCGATGCTATAAGTTATCTAGGCTATATTATTAATATGCTACATGAAACTTTGTAAACAATAAGGCTTTTTTGTTTTGTGATTTAACCCTACACATAGGCTATACCAAAATGTTTGTCTAGGTGTAGATTTACAAACTGACCATACATGTTTGAAAAAGCCCCTTGGGCTCTGCCCCAGTAGCTTTTAAAGTTCCCATGTTATCCTTGTGAAGAACATATTTTTTTTACATTAGGATCAGATGGATAGTTTAATTGCTGTTAGGGATTTTGGTTGCAAGATAAGGAAAAGTGGGCTACAAACATTTACTGACTTGATTGAAATGAAATATTACACAGCAGACTCCCTCTAACCCGGACTCCTCGGGACTGAGGCCAGTCCGGATAAGGGGTTTTCCGGTTAAACGACATCTCCAAAACAAACCGTTTACTGTTACTTCTACTTAAATTTAGGAGAGCTTTGTATTCAGACACGTGATCACTGGTCTCAAATCTTTCCCACGAGAACAGTTGTTTCAATACCGCTCACTTCCTGCCGATCTAGTCCGGTTAAACCAATGTCCGAGGGAGTCTAGTGTATTTGAAATTGAGTAGGCGTAAATATTACAATGGAAAAAAGTAAGAAAGCTTGGACAGTTTGATATACGGAAAAAAAAACTGAATTAAAACTGTGCTGCATTTCTTGAGCAATCATGGAAAGAGCCAAAACATAGGAAAGTCATAGAACACCACGAAGTAGAAGAAATAGTAATACAGTAATGGTTTTTGTACAATTTATAATTGTAGTTAAAATGGACAACCTTATAAGGCCCATCACGCTATCCATTTCAGTGGGAAACATTTGTAGAAAACACTAAAAAACAAGCTTTTGAAAATTAATAACATATTTACAAGAAATGTTGATCTATATCAAACTGTTACGTACATCGTGTGTACTTCCATAATCTTTGAGTCGACTCTTTTAAAACCATCGGAAATTACTTATGACGGCTAATCCTTTTTAAAGTAGGCCTAATGCCTATAATATTTCCCAATGGCTCAAGATACTTCGGAATTCGAGCAACAGGTCCACTACCTACTATTTTATTACGGTTAACAAGGCAACTAGGCCTAAAATTAATTGTTGATAGGCCTATAAGCATTTCATATTGTTTTCAAAATTCAATTCTATTATCACAACAACTTAATCATTTGCATTGACAGAAACAAGCCAAAGAGAGAAATTAATTTTAGTATTTTTTGTTTGATAGATTATTATTTGGATAATACCGGAAGATTTTCTCACTAGCTAAAAGAAAAATGTAAGAATTGAAAAGGTCCTGCTTCCAAGATATTTAACTTTGAAGAAACATGGCCTTACCAGATGTTATGTTTATTAGCATAAAACATACTACATACTTCTTATTGAACTGAGAAATGATTTAGATAGGCCTACATCAAAATATTAACAGCTTTAAAGTGAGTTCACTTAAAAAAACAATATGTTTGTGAAAAAATATGTTTTTGTTTCTTCATGACACTAGTGTAAGCTATAAGCTTGACTAACAGTTAGGGCCTAGTTACATGGGGCTCAAAGTTTTTAACTGCAATTTAAGAACAAACTGGTAAGCCTATTTATTCCAACAACGTTGAAATTACTTACTTTAAATTTATGCAATAATTAAAAAAACAGTCATTAAATTTACTACAACTTTGTTAATTTATTTCCACAGTCTAACCTCAATCCACAGTCACAAAAATGACAACTGAACACTGAACTGACTCAACTAAACTGACAAGAAGAAGAAGCAAGAACCAACCGTCTGCTTTCAGTAGCTTTAACGTAGGGAAGAAAACCAAATCGCTAAGTCTTTCGATTTCGATTACTTTAGCTCGAACCCGTTGGATATACCATAGATTAATACTTATTACTAAGATTAATAATTGCAGCATACCTTACTTATCTATGGTGGCATCTAGAGTTAATGGACCGTTCCCTTAAAAATTCCATTAGCTAATATAAAATTTATCATGTTTTTAATTTCCTGAGTTTTCCATAATCCATAGGTACTTTTCATCATTTGAGGTTATATCATAGATAAAAGGAGTATAGACACAGATACCCCACGCAATGCTAATATGTGTTAACAATTTTTCGCCCAAAAACCGACTAGATCCTAGGCGGCGCTAGTCTCGAAACCGACTAAGCGCGGTTGCCATGTCGTGCAACTCAGTCGGTCGACCGGCCAACTCAGCCGGCTGGGAGAGATTCCCTGCCCTCGCACCCGTCACAGGCTATACGCTACAGTATACAGTGCACGAACACTTCACTCTGCGTCCTAGAGCTTAAATGAAATGAGTTTTCTCTTCATAGCTAAATAATTTATAAACATTTAGCCATTGTGTGATAATCATGAGATTATGAAGGGAATTATTTTACGCTTACAATAATTAGTTTAACATTGTAGCCTATATGCTTTAGAAAATATGCAGAATAATTACTTTATATAACAAGTTATAGGAAATGTTATATATTTATGAACTGGAATGTCCTGTGGAAATCAAAATTAGCATCTACTCAAATTATGTAAATTTACCGTTAAATTTGCAGTATAGTTAAAGCTATACACCAAATTACATTAAGGGTGGTAATTTGTGTTATAGCTGACATTACTAGTGCACATGCCAAATAGAATTTGGTAAAAATACTGAAAAACAAACATTGCTAACTTCCTAAAAATGTATTGGGATTTTCTTGGTAGAAACGAGTGTTTATCGCCACAGTCTTGCCGACAAGCTCCAACTCTACCCTTAGACAAAAAATGTTTATTGGCACGACCACCGCCGCGCTGCTGTACACTTTCTTCGTCAGTTGTGCCATTCATTCAGTAATTCAGTTAACGTCGACATGGAGAGAACGACTACGACAGTTTGTAGTTACAGAAAGTGCAAGAATTCGTATAAGAAGAAAAAGGACTTGCGAATGTTCAGATTTCCTAAACACCTCTCTCAAGAGTGGGTAAGAAGTTTCGGTAAGTAAATTATTTTAGCCAAATAAATAATTAAGCAAATCATAGTTTGGATATAGTTTACGAACTCAAAGCATAATTATTGGGTATCAATTTTCTTTGTCCTACATGTTCTTTTCTTTTTGATACCTTCTGTATTTGGTTTTATGTTTTAATTATATAGTTTGCAAGGCTATTTCGTAATATCAATAGTTTTGTATTTAAAATACTTCTATTGATATTATCCGTAAACATGTTTGAGTGAATGTAATAAGGGATTTATCTACTTTCAATTAAGATAGTATAGTTTGTATATAGGTTAATAATGTTATTTTCATCACTGCGAAAACACTCACCGCAATAAGTCACTTTCAAGACTAGTAATGAAAACCACTATTGTTATATATCCAACAGCTTAACCTAATATTACATGTTGGGTAATATAATATTGTATGTTTAGTTTAATATATGCATTTTGCTTTCAAACGTAAACTGCTCTGTGTTTGTCATCCATCCCTACCCTCCAAGTAGGGTCATAACACTCCTAACCTGGTGATAGAGCTATTGCAGTTGTTAATTATCTTTGGTATGAATGAAGACGCATGAAGGGACACCCTTATGTAGGTGGGCATGAATGATGAAAGCGAAAGCATAATAGTATAGTGGTGAGGCTAGTGACTCAAGGTCAGGTGAAATGACAGTACAATTAATCTATTTTATTTAGCAAAGTACAGTAGTCGCAGCTAGTCTGGGCGCGCGGCCGCGCTATGGCGGGGGGTGTAGAGGGGTGTTTATTGCTCATTTCCAAAAACATCTGGCCCACACGGCTCTCTGGGGTTGTTCAGCGCCTCAGCGCTGTCTCATGGCTTTGGCGTAAGGGACGGTTTAGTACACAAGGGTCAGCGCGCCCAGACTAACTGCGACAACTGTATATCAGTCCCTGGACACCCGGTCAGTCACCCCCTTCACGCACACTTACCCTTATGAGCTGAGAGGTGCGAGAACGAGACCGCCGTTGGAAAATGTCCAATAGTAGTTCTTCATCGGTTCTTTTATATACCAACTATAATCAAACTATAATTTTCAAATTTGTAATTTTTATCCATACGGTTCATAAATCTAAATTGTACTTAAAATTACATAAAAAAAAACTAGACAAAACCACGCACGATTTCTTTAAGCAAGTTTTCAATAAACATTTGTGTACCTTTGGTTGTTAGCATTATTTTTTAAATTATTTTATTGCTACTCTTGTCTATAAATATTAAATATTAACAAATTTATCTTATTACAATACCTATGGTACATTCTATCACTTTTCTATTGTTCCCACGTGAATATTTGTTGTATTTATTGTTTTTTATATCAATGTTGACTCTACTTTAAAAGCGTGACTGTTGTTGTCTATATAAAAATATATGTTGTTGTTCTGATGAAACAATCGAATGTTGGCGAACGGATGAATGGTTTGGCAACACATAAAGGAGAGACTTGCATACATTTATTTATAGGTGTAAAAGGTAAACAAGTTCACAATAACAGGAGAAAGTGTATAAACTAAAATAGTTTTATTATAAAAAAATCGCCAACAAATTTAGATTGCTTATTACAGTGTAACAATAAATATAATCAGTAAATAAACAATAATACAATAATAACTTTCATATTTAATTTACACTCTGGATGTTAGCGCGTCTTAGTGGTCATATATATTGTACAAATATTGTATTTATTTTCAGGAAATATAAATCTTATCGGACTGTCACCTTCTAGATTGTATAAAAACAAAAAAATATGTGAGGAACATTTTCGAAAAGAAGACATTTTGCCTAGTGGTAGATTAGTGAGAAACGCAATTCCATTGCAGTACTCTGCTTCAGAATGCTCAACGCCATCATGTGCAAGCACAAGAGAAAACACTGGTGACAGTGTCCAAGAACCAAATGAATCAGTCAATAGATTAGTGCACAGAGGGAGAATGCAGACGTATGAGAATCGGAGGGCAATCGAGCCACGTGCTTCACCTGATGTTAGCACATCTTCTTCCAAATTTACAGTGCAGCAATCTCCATCCGTAAGAAACTGGATTGATCAGGCGTCGCCAACTAATCGGCCGGATCGCACCAGATTGGTACGGCTAAAGAGAAGTCTATTTTCAAATTTGACTCCGACTCGAAAATTTGAAAGTAAATATAAACAATGTAGACGTAAGTTAGCTTCAAAAACATCAGAACTATCTAGACTTAAAAAAAGATTTATTGATTCAAGAAAAAGAACATGGCTATTGAAAACTAATATGTTCAAAACTAGAGATGCTGCTGTGCTGTGTAATATGCAACTACACAAAAACAGGCAATCGTGGAGCAAAGAAGAAAGAAAACTAAGCACAGCTCTTTATTTAAAGTCCCCGTCCACTTATAAATTCTTAAGACAAAGAATAGTCCTTCCAGGACAATCCACAATTCAACGTTGGCTTGGTAGCAACGAACTATTTCGGCCGGGATTCAACTCGACTGTTCTTGGCCAAATACAGATAAAGGCTTCCACTATGACTAGTATGGAACGAGACGTAGTTTTAATGTTCGATGAGATGTACATCAAAAAGGGCTTAGAGTATTCCCGAAAATATGACTTCATTGAAGGTTTTCAAGACACAGGGCGTTTAAATCGTGGGCCAGAAATCGCAAAACAGGCAGCTGTTTTTATGGTGCGAGGACTGTACTATCACTGGAAATTGCCCGTTGCGTACTTCGTCACCGAACGAGGGCTGGCAGCTGGAGAGATAAAGGACCTGATTTTACAATCAGTTGACTATTTACAGAAAGCAGATTTAAATGTTAAGGCCGTTGTATGTGACCAATGTTCTTCAAACGTATCCGCCTATCAAAAATTACATATAACAGAAAACAAGCCGTTTTTCCTCAACAGTAAAGGTGAAAAGATTTTTGCACTCTATGACTCTCCTCATTTATTAAAATCACTCCGGAACAACCTCATCACTCATGACTTCATTTTAGATGGCAAGCAGATATCATTTTCAGACATCAGAGAACTATACAAGATCGAGACATCAAGCGGAACTACTAGAGCTGCTCACCAACTATCCGCTGCTCACATTTGGCCAAACAGTTTTCAAAAACTATCAGTTTCCCTGGCAGCACAAGTTTTCAGCCACACGACAAGCGCCGCTCTGAAAACTGCTGTTGCCACCGGAGAAATAAGATCATCAACAGCTTCGAACACTGCAGACTTTATTTCAGATATGAACAATTTGTTTGATGCATTGAACAGCAAAAAACGCAAAACTCCAAATCCCGCTACATGTGCTTTGAACAAAAATGACCCATATATAAGAGACGTCTTAGAAGGAGGGATGAAAATCTTCAAGAGCCTAAAGAAGATTAAATCAACTCATCCTGAACCTCCTTGCTTTCGAGGATTTAGATTAACAATACAAGCTATTTTGCAACTTTTTGAGTACGAGGATTGTCAGTTCCTCCTGACATCAAGACTAAATCAGGATCCTCTGGAGAACTTGTTTTCAAGTATCAGGCAGAGGGGGGGATTCAATAAAAACCCCACCGTTAGAGTTTTCAGAGGGTCAATAAGAATATCGACACTCAAACAACTGATGGAACCACCAAAAAGCACATCTTACGACCCCGATCTTGACGAGCTACTTGAAATTGGCAATGCAGTTGTAAATGAAGGTAAGACCATTTTTAGAAATATTATTATAATTAGAAACCATAAATAGACCCTATAT